AAAAAAAAAAAAAAAAAAAAAAAAATCAAGAAATAAGGACAAATGTAAAATCGATAATAATAAAATAATAATTTTAATAAATTGTAAAACATAAAGCATTTCAAAAGTTAATTAAAAAAAAAAAAAAAAAAAACAGTTTTAAATAGAGTTAAAAAATATATCTAATTTTGGAAAAGTGTACAGTCGTCACCATTCTTCTATATGCAAATTTAAATGCAAGAATTTTCATTTTATACAGAATTATTGATGTTATGTCGGGTAACATAAAATTGGTATCTTGGAATTAAAATGGAAGGAAAATTAGTTAAAAAAACCTTTATTATTATTATTTTTTTCTAGGAGTTCACTTTAAACTAATTTTTATGCAATTTCAATTCTAAAATACCAATTCCATGCTACCCACAAAATTTCCTTTTGTTCTCTTTCTCCATGTCCTTAACAGAGGGAACTAACAATAGGTAAATAGACTACGAGACTTTTTTTGGTCAATAAATATTAAAGTTATTTTTGTAATTAAAATCTCACGTTAAATAAAACACATTGGTTACCATCCATTGTCAAAGTCTTCCTCCAATATACACAATAATTGTATTTCCCATTAAGAATTTTCAAACATGCAAAATAAAAATAAAATATATTATATAAAATGAAACAACTTAGGGAAATGATAAAAAATATTGACATGGACAAGGTCATCCTACAATATCATACATAATAACTGTAATTCCCATTAAGAATTTTCAAACATAACAAAAAACTATAAATAACTAATGATAAGATTTATTAAATAAAATGGAACAACTTAGAGAAATTGTAAAAAAAATTGACATGCATAAGAATTCAAACAGGACCTTTTTGTGGAGATCCACTCTCTCTTCTGCCACCCAAGTGTGCTCGATTAATTATTTGAAATACTTGACACTTCTTGTACTTTTAATAATAATATATATAATAGTATTTAAAAAAAAAAAAAAAAATTGGTAACTTATGTTTTAATAATGGTGAGGAGTTGTAAAACTTTATGTTTGTATTTTAATTTGTAATTTATGATTTACTTATTTTATTATTTATTTATTTTTAATTACTTATTTATAGATAATGATGATTTGAAATTCTTGACACGGTTGTATTTTTAATAATAATATAGATATTGATATTTATATAAAATATGCCATAATATGTATAGATAATACCATAGGATTACGTACGGAGCACATTACAAATATTTGGCAACCAACCCTTTTTATTTTTCTTTTTCTTTCTTCTCTACCCGCTCCCCTTCAACTGACTACTTTTTTTCTTCCTTTCTACGCGCAGAGTACATGTATCAAATTGCTTTGTTATGATTGGTCCATTCAAATTGTTTTGCTATCGCCACCGATTTGTGGGATCAGATTCACGGTATTTGTCCCTCACTAAAAAAGCAGTCTTTGTTTATTTCTTAATCCTCTCATTGGTGGTGGTGCTGCCCCTGTTTACAATATGCTTCATAGAAATTCCTGATTTTTTTATTTGTTTTTGTTGAATGTAAATTGTCTGTTAGTACGCACAATTATGTCTTGATCTGTTATTAATTTGCTTCGAAGATAGTTCGAAGATTAGTTGTTTATCTTTCTTTTTTAGGTTATTCCAAAATACTTGTCTACTTTCTAAAGTTTAAACGACATATTTCACATATTTACATAAAATACCCTTAAAATTTTAAAAAAAATTCAAACTTAATTATATATATATTTAAAATTGAAAAGGTATGTTTGTAATTTTTAAAGGGATCAATGCAATAATTACATGTCCTCTTAAAAAGTTCTACTCCCTAAAAGAGACATCTAATATAAGGAAGTGGGAGTATGAAAATTGGACTGATGGTCTATCATTGATTTTTATGTGGAAACACTTGGAATCAAAGCTTTTCATGAGAAAATACTGAAGGAACACAATATGATCTCAATTTACTTTCTAGGTTCATTTACCAAAACTTGATAAAGTTGGGTAAACAGAAAATAAGCTACCACCTAGAGTAGCACAATCCCTTTCTATCACATATTGATAAACGACCAGTTTATATTTTCTATCAATTCACAGTTGTAACATTTACATATAGAATAGTAACATATCTTAGTAATAATACCACCACCTTGAGATTTTGACAGTGCATAGCTATTCATTTTCTGCCTTTCTTGGACTTCTGTTTCCCTTCCCGCTTTTCTTGGACTTGCTGTTTCCCTTCCCCTTGTTTTGTGCTTCGGAGGAAACATTAGCCGACTTCATAGTGTCTTCATTAGAGTTGCTAGTTCCCTTACCCTCAGCCTTGCTGTCATATGGTGCCTCACTCTAAAGCATTTGTGTCTTCAACTACATTTCATCAAAATTCCCTCTCTTTTATCATCCAGAGGCTTTAAAATATCGGAAATTTCCCATAAAAGCCCCCAATCTGTTTGCAGGTTGCCTTCCTTTCCATTCTTAGTGTTTGTGCTCCGATCTTCCATGGAAGCAAAACTACAAGACTGTACAATATAACACTTCCCCTGATCATCACAGTTCAGAGAATTTTTTTCACCCCATGAATTCCTTGAAGTCTCTTCAACAGCTACCTTTTTCCCTTGGTAAGCTTTGGTATTCGTGGGAAACAACACTCTCATGATATCCTCTTTGCATTGCATATCTCTCATGTCCACAAAAATGGCATCAGGGAAAAGTAACTCTGAACAATCTCCTCCCAAGCTCACTACCACAAGAGGGTCCCCTATCTTTTTAAATGCTTCAGCAACACTTACTTTTACACCTTCAAATACACTAAAGTCATAAATTTTTCTATCTTTCCGAAGGGCAGTGAAGAATTCCCTTGGTAACTTTGAAGTAATATCATTCCACCACAGCAAAGAAAAAAGTACATCAAAATAATATCCAGTACCCGCACAAAGTAAACACAATAAAACAAAAAGTCTCAGCACCAGCAGTGGATAGTAGTAATTAAAATTAATGTTAGAATTTTTAATCCAATCTGCCGTTTCCTTCTTATTATAAACAAATTGCTGGAGGCTGCGAGACACAAAACCAAATATCACGTACTTAGGCATTTGCACATCAGTTACTAAATTGGCACTGGGGTTGGTGTTTGGTTGCAGATGAAAAAGCCACTCAATAAATGAAGACTTTGTAGTGAGAAAGTATCCCTCCTCCTGCACGTAAGATGCTGAGATCAGAAGGTGCTCAACAAGATACAAGAAACAACTAGGTGATATATAGTCAATTTCATTCCTCCAATTAACATTAAAAGTATCTTCCATAGCTTTAAGGAATTCGTGAACCAAAGAAACCCCAACAGCCTCAATAGAACTGCTGGAAGGTGAAGATTCTATATCTTCTTTCCCTCTGACATTCTCAACGAATACCCTCCATGATGAATCCACATCAAACCTTTTAACAAACTCCTCGCATAGTTCATCAGCTGGCGTTTTAGATCCAAGCCACACCATTACCACCCTCCCTATTTGTCCATATGTCAGTTTACCTTTGAGGTTCCTACAAATAACTTCTTCAAGCAACTTCCTTGAAAGCTCAGTTCCCCTCAGAGAAATCATATTCTCTGCCAATGATTCTCTCCAGTCAAAAGGAAACACTTTTTGGAAGTACTCGGTAGATAGTTCAAAAAATGTCTGCAATTTCCTAGTATCATGGTGCTTGAGATCATGAAACTTGGACTCTAGGAGAAACTTTGTAACCTCAAATATATGAATGAGACATATGCTTTGGCAAAACACAGATGAGGAATTCCTGGCAGTGAACTTATAGAGGGCTTCAAGCTTCACCAACACCTTCATTCCAACAGCAAGTAATTCTGCATGCCAATGAGTCCGGGCAGCTGAGACAAACTGGTGAACATCAACAGATACCAACTTTCCACTACTTCGGAGAAATCTGTCGTCAAGTTCTCTCACCCAATCGGCATCAGAGTTCATCAAAACATAAGTGATATTCAGATTATTGAACTGCTTTCGCACGCCAAAATAATTCAAACAGAACTCACCAAAACCTTGATATTTACTAACATTTTGGGTTTCAAGACACCCAAGATACTCAAAGATATTTACGACATACTCTTTCCACATATTCCAAAAGTAAACCAGTGTTTCAACATACACAAGGTTCTGTGAAATTTTTTCTTCTGAATGATTTGTCAGATCCACTATCAATTCATCTTCCCATGCATACTTTAAGGTATTGAAATGAAAATGAGCATCCAGAATTTTTCTAACGGATAAAATTTCTCCCCTGAGGCTTTTCTGTCGTTGGGAGGCATTGAAATAGTTATTCAATTCAAACAACTTACTCTGTTCATTCGATAAAATGTTAACCTCAGTACAAACAGATTCATAGAAAACATAGGATTCTGAGAAAGCATATGATTCTTTCTTTGCTAACAATTTGGCATTTGCTAAGAGTTCTTTCTTTTGTGCAAACTGCTTCAATGGCCAACCCTTGCTTCCAGAAATCCATAGTGAGTTGGAAAACACATACCAGAGAATGAGCAATGATGCATCACAATAATGTCCAGCCTTCCCTAGCAGCTCAGCTTCCAGTAGAAGATCTCCTCTCAGCTTTGCAATCTCTGCCGCCTCCAAAAAGTTTCCTGATTCTTCTTCCAACAAAAAGAGTTCATCAAGGCAATCCAAAGACTTCAAGAAATTGCGCCTCAAATCCATTGAATGAAAAGTCCTAACAAATTTCATCATGGAATTGTTATCTTTAAGCTCAAAATAGTTAAGTGCACAACTCTCCAGAAACTCTTGTTCAATTTTTTTTTATTTCACTACATCTTGTGATCATATCACCATTCATAGGAATATGTTGTTTCCAGTATTGGATACATTGAAGACCCAAGTCCAATAATTTTCCTTTGGTGCAAACTGATAAGCACTCGGAAAAATAATTGCCCTTAGCATACACTTCCGCTGAATGCAAATAGCATCCTGCTAGAGAAAAACATTCACCAGCTTTCTTCAGCTTGGATTCCCCACATTTTTCCAAATAAATTCTACCTGCAGCAAAAAGAGTAACAATCTGAATGTCAAACTTTTCCAAGCAAAAAATGGATTAAAAATTCTGCTTAAACACTAGATACTTGAAGATTATAACAATACCATCAGAATGAGATGAAAAGAAAAAAAGCAAACAGTATAGCTGCTATTAATTGTTAAAGAGATTCAATCTGAGATTTAAGTTCTAGCCTTAAAAATGAAAAGAGATGATACTATAGTGAACTTATCTTGGTGCTATCCTACCACCCAAAAATATTTCAACTGAATGCAATAACTTTCAGGCATTTCATACAATACATAATCCCACAACATATATAATTAGACAAGTAAATGCATCCTCTTAAGATCAAACAAAAATTACAAAATAGATAGACAGATAGAGCCACCAAAAAAAAAAAAAAATGGAGAATCATTTCCTACGAAAAACCAATGGCTAAAAAAAAAATATTCCATCTAATAATCTTCTTGCGCATTACTGAACATATCTTAAATTAGATCTCTATTACGATACTCCTCTCCCAAAAGATATTTCACATCCTCCACCCACCACAATACTCCCAATTTGTGATGCCACAAAAGCTTTCAGCATTCAGACAGATTTAAGTAAAACCAGATTTCATTTTCTAATGGAGATAAGAAACTAGATATATGAAGAGCATAATAAACTAATTTCCTAAACAATATTTTCAAATTAATATTACTTTTATAAAAATAAGGAAAAAACAAATACCTGCTCTTTCATACTCCCCCAGATCACAAAAACATTCTGCTGCAGACTCGGTCCTACCAATCGAATCAAAGATTTCAGCAGCCTCCCTAAGTACAGTAGAAGACATTTCAGGATTTGAACCACGCAAACGGTCAGCTGATGCTTTAAGGCCAGTAGCCTTAGCCCTTTTCTCCCACATTGTGTCTCCAGCTCTTTCAAAGCACATTGTTGCCATCTCATAGTTATTTTCCCAAAAGAGCTGCAAAAACACAAAGATCATATGTATGAGCAGAATCATTGACACAAAAGAAAACAAAGGTTGTTAAAATTAAAGGAACATACTTTGTTATTATTAATAGTAGCACCACCAACAAGAAAGAGTAATTCTGACTTTTAGCAATGACAACAAGAAAGTAGCAGCGGTGAAGATATAAAGATAGATAAAGCAGACCTTTATACCCCGTGACTTCCACTCCTCTGGGCTGCTTACAACTTGCATTGCCTGTGCGAGTGAATCATCGAGTTGCTTCACTTGGACCAGGCACAATGTCTTCCAATAATCAAACATAGGCTTGGATAGTTCATCGATGTTCTCACAAATCCATAGCCTTTGCCTTGTGCGAGTGATAGCTACATATAGTTGCTTCAGTTCAGAACACAAGATACTGTGTTTTGTCTCACTAAATGTTGGAAATGATTTGGGAGAAGTAGCATCTAGCATATCTTGTTCCTTCATAAATTCATATATTATTCTCCACTGATTTTTCAGAGGGGAAGACCCAAAAAAGTTGTCCAGCAATACATCCTACAAATAATATTACAAGAGGAGTCCATGAACAGAAGATAATATTTAATGGAGATGTATTAAGTGTCTCCAACAACACTTTAAATAAACCATAGCCCCAACGGATAGCAATTTGATTGAATAATCTAAAAGAGACACATTTTTTGTTTCTCTTTTTCTTTTCATAGATTCATCGATTTAAGGGGAGAGGTAGCACAAGCCCCGGAATAATAATAAATGAATTGACAAACAGAGTCGCAATCATATATATATAATATAGCAGCAGAAGGGTTATCTTTGCTGTTCACCATGTGGAAACTGAGACATGTAGGGATCCACTACTAACTATAATTTTGCTTCTCTCAAACACATTACAGGTGGCTGCTTCAATAAAAAATAATGTAACAGTGACCATTTAAAGAAACAGAAGATAAATAAATAAATAGTTTAAAGTTAAGGTTCACCTGAAACTCTAGGCCCTTGCACTCCACTATAGTAAGAACAAGGGCTTTCTTTCCCACAAAGTCAGAAATTTCCTTCCTAGCACGATCATCACGTACTAATATGACCTGCTCAGCACCAAATCCTACAATGTTGCCACCAGCATTTCCACTGTTTCCAAAAATAGTAACAATTGCACTTTCATCATTCCCAGACTCAAGTAAAATTGGTGCTTCACCATATATAAGACTGGTCTCAGGTTTCACAACATCAATAGATTGAAGAAAGAAACGGTAAAGAAGATCAATTGTGCTTTGTGCTAAATTAAGTACACCAGCATGGGTACGAAAGTTTTGAGTCAGATTGAAAATTTGCGATATTTGTCCCTTCTCTTTTTTACCATCAGATTCATTACTTCTTCATTTCGAAATGAACTCATTGTAGAACAATAGTCGTATCTCTTGGAATCTAAAATCAATCCCCCTTGCAATAGTTTGTGCTGTATCACCCGAAAAAACAAAGCCCTCGTCAACATTTCTGCAAACATGTTTAAAAAGAGCAATTTGTCTCATGGTAAGATCTTGCACTTCATCAATATAAACAAAATCCATTTCAGCACCCTCAAACCTTTCCTTTTGTAGTCGATGATGAAGATCAATTACTAAATCATCTATATCAAATTCACCTTTTTCCATCTTCATCTTTTCATAATCTTGAAAAATATCATAGATTACCTCTCTCTTCTGCTTGCTCAAAGGGGACACCCGGCCCTCAGAGAGTAAAACATAATTTTCTCGACTAAGTTTACCATCAAGGGTCCCCCCTGCTTGCAGGCCACCTTTTATATGGGAAATTATCTCGGTAAACACTACAGCAGGATCAAGCTTCTTTATTAGCTTGGTATGGAAATGCGGCCAGTAAAATGAACAGAACCTGTCATAGTTAACTTCCTTCATTCTTATGAAAGTTTGCAATGCAACTGATCTTGAAGTTCCAGTTTTACGATGAGAAAATTCCCTTAAATCACTGAATCTTTCAAAGTATGAATTACCCAATGTTCCATCAAGCATCATTAAGAACTTATGAAACGTTATGAAAAGAGGATATTTGTTAGGAGGAATTTCAACAAAAGAATCTGGGATATCTTTAAATTCTTCCATATCATCCATATTAATTGAACTGTTTTCTGCTGAAAAATTTCCACCATGGGCGAAGCTGTACAAATAAATAGGACTATCATTAGGAAAAAGAATCCTGCCGCTAACATGTATTAATATATGCATACAAGAGTATATTTTAATTCTACAAGACAATTCTCTAGAAGTCTTTAGAAGGTAAGTGTTGCAAAGCAAAAAATAAAAGTTGAAGAGAGAAATTAAAACATGAAGAAGACAAGGATATATGTGGTTCAGCCACTAGGGCTTACATCTACGACACACAAAGCCCAAAGGGCTACATCTCTTTCATTACATTCTCTCTTAATTCATCTACAATACAATGGTGAAGGCTCCTTTATATAGGAAGAAATTATGAGAATGAAAAGTGTTTATCCCATTATTTTTGGTCAAATGGAAAGACGACATGTGGCGAGTCCTAGAGAACTTGCCACGCTGGATTATTGCCTGATTATTTGAAAAAGGATCATATTAGGGCATCATGGGACATTCAAGACTTTATACCATGAAGGTCAAAACAATTCAAATATTGCCATATAGGCTCACGCATAAGGTGTGAATCAAGAGAGAAATTGTCTACCAGTAAGAAGGAAGCATGTGGCGAGCTTCAATGGAGCTTGCCACACCAAATCATAATTTAAATGAACTTGGAAAGGAAGGCATTGCAATATATATATATATATATGACATCATGCGATATAAGGTGGATTGGATTGATCGTATTTGGGATGTTCACAATTACCTTCCAGCTTCAGATTTTACATGGATTGTAGCAAAACAACATTATTATATTGACTCTTACTTTTTGAAGATATGCATTTGCATTTACTCTCCGGAGGAGAGTTCTTCTCAACCGTTGGAATGATGGAGAGCCTAGCCCGAGAGCTTGAAGTCCATATGGCCCACACCTACTATTGGAGACGTGGGAAAGAAAGATAGAATTAAGACTTTTGCTTTTATAATTATTATTGAATTTTAGGGTCTTATTTTAAGGTAATAGGAATTTTAGGGTTTTTCTTCAATGCCTATTTATATGTTGGTTTAGACATTGTGAAATACAGCTTTTGATGATTATTATTGATTTTGAATTTTGAGATTATCGTGATTTCTTCCCCCTCTATTATTCTTCTCTTCTGATTTCTCTTCTTCTGAATTCTTCTTCTCTTCTGATTTCTCTTCCCTCCATTCTTCTTCCCTTTTTCTCTCAATCTCATTCTTATTCTTAATTTCGAATCGCCCCTACCCGCTGCTGCATCACAGGTACTCCTGCTTTTCATGTTAAAGCGGGAAAACCTACTTGGGTTCTGGATTCCGGAGCCAATGGTCACATGACTGGTGAGTTGTCATTATTTTCTACTCCCGTCACCCGTGTCTGTATCAGTCTATATGTGTACATGCCTGCTTTTCATCTAACAGAAATGATTTATGGGACTTCTACAAGTGTCTGTATCAGTCTAAATGTCCTGACAAGCATATAACATCTTATCATGCAAAGTTAGCAATACCAAATAGGTTGGAATAGCCACTTTAATTGACTGATCAGTAGTTCACACCCTTGCCACCAATAAGAAAATAAATAGTCTAGCATTTAGCATAACAAAACAAACAGAAAAAAGTTAATTCATTTGGCCTGACATTATTTAAATGGGAAAAGGCAAAGATGATCATGCTAACAAAATAGAGTGTATTCCAACAACTCCAAACTCGAAAATTATACGCACCTTTTCAGCTGTGAGACATGTTGTTTGATAGCATAACACAATTTTGGACTAACTGTAACAATAGCTGGCGAAATGCAGTTCCCTTAGTCTCTCCGATGCACTCACTAAACTCGTTTATCTGGCTAGAACTCTTAGTGGCACTGCTCTCAACTACATAAAATCCATCTGTAGACATATGGTGTTGTTGCTCCTTTTGAAATAATTTCATGGTCAAAACAGTAGTTTTTCCAGTGCCTGACCGTCCAACTATAAAGGTGCTTTTACTAAAGAGAATAATTTCCAGCTCCCGATCTGTTACTTCAAAGGGGAGATCCAGTTCCCCACCATCGCAGCCAGAAAGCAGGTGACTCACAACACCAGATGATAATGAGTAGAATTTCATCAGCAACAAGCTTTCACTAACCTTTGAATTCTCAACATAACTTCTACAATCAACAGCTGCAACACTTGATTCACTCCCAAATTCAGTGTTGCAAATATTCTGAAACCGGACATTGTCATAAGAGGTCACCCAACTCTTTGGAATTTCCAAGTCCCTAAACACGAAAAAAATTAAATTTAAAAGAAAGCAAAAAACTCTTTGAAACTCAAATATATAATTAAATCATTTATAGTTTCAACAATCAAAATAAGGCAGCATCAATTAAAACTTAGGCTCTGTTTTGTTCAAAGATTTAGCGAAGAAAAGGAAAACAATAGGAAAAAGACAAAAGAAAACAAATCTTTGCAATTTTTTCTCATTATTAGATGTGACTGAAATTTAAAATTCATTAAAATTGGACAAGAATTGAGAGAAGGGATAGGGAAATTAAATGTAGAATTACAAATTTTTTCTTCATATTCCATTTTGAATCTATTTTCTGTGGTGAACGAACATGAAAAGTATTGATGTGTTCTGCAATGACTTCCGTTTTCCATCACCAAATTCATGAACCAAATAGCACCTTAGCATTTAGCAACAATAGGTCATTTCCAATAGCATGCAAAAGAACAGACATACCCCTCAAGACATTTGCAGCGCTTGATAAAATCATCGGTGTACATTGCAATTATGCTATCAAGACATTTCACCAATTTCGAGATCTCCTCTAAAGGCAATATGTCCCAAACCTTCAAAACTTGGATGTACCTAGATTCCTTCACTATGTCAATTGTGCATACAACATAGAGCCCTTCAACCTTGAATTGTTTAACGCTCTGTGAAGAGCTTTCACAAACTGAGTCCACACTCCTTTTCTTAGGTCGCCAACCACTAGATAGCTTAAGTAAAAGGTTCAAAACAGACTTCTTTGAATGGACAGACATCAATTTTCCAAATGACTTTCTAAATTGATCACTGAAAAGAACCTGGGAGATCAAGTGGGCAAGAAACTTTTAGAATAAAGCCAAAGACCAATAATCCAAATGATAAAGCTACAAAATTATTCTAGAAATTGGAAAAGATTGGACAATAAATATTTGGCAACCAGAAGCTATATACCTTCCACCTTGCACTTTTGAAAAGTGTACTGGCCCCATTAAGCAAATCATCAAGTTGATCAAGGTTTTTCTTCACATCTAATATTGTTTTGGCTATATCACTGTCTTCGTCGGCATTGAAGAAACATTGACGATCCTTAGCATCTTGGACTAACTCTGCCCATACTGATCCACTGTTGGATAGGGTTTTCTCATTTCCAAGAACCCAAAGACAGTGCCTGGAAAGATGTGGAAAGGTCATGTTCTAAATATGAAGATTAGAAAGAAATCACGATAAAAATTTCTTTAACTTTGTACCGAGCTCTAGTCAAAGCAATGTTAGTTCTTTGAGGACTGGATATGAACCCGATGAATCCTCTACTATTAGTTCTTACAGTAGATATTATCATGATATCTTCCTCTCCACCTTGGAACCCATCAATAGACTTCACCTTCACCATGAAACCAGCAAGGTTCTCATACTTCCGTCCAAGTTTTTCTTGAATTGCCACAACTTGGGCAGCACAGGGAGACACCACACCAATGCTAAGATTCTTTTTAGAGCCATTAATCCAAGCTGTACATGAATATAATACGTGCATCAAAAAGAAAAACCAAACTAATAGCATACGTTAACAACTAAAAGTTTGAAACAGCCCCAATAATATTCTTTGTAGAGCTTACTTACCTGGATAACTTAAACTTAGCAGGGATAAGAAAGGATAAGACTTGAGGAAGTTTTCCATCAAATTTGTTGGGAAAATAGTATGAAAACTTCCTCCATAAAGTAACCATATGTCAATATTTTGGTATTTAATTCTATCTAATCCTGTTTACAATTTTATTTTATTCTTTGACACTCTATTGGGTTATCGGAAAGAAGGGGGAGAAAATTCATAAAATAGGTTCGTCATATCAAGTATTCTCCCTCTCTCTCTCTCTCTCCTTATATATATATCTTCAATGGTTAATGAAACCTTAATCGGTCTCCTTTCTTACAAAAGATAATATTATTCTTGCCAAATCTCTTTAACTTGACCCTCAGTGCCCATATTGTCCAATTAAAGAGATCAACTTAGACAGTTACTATGCAATGCAATCATATTGCTGCAAACTCAAAAAATGATTTAATATAAAAATAATAATAATAAAAATGAAAAATAGTTTTCTGTAGATGATGATGTAAAAGTGAGATAGGAACATGAAATCATTTCATAAAACACATAGTATGTCAAGTAACAAAGTTAATATTGTACTACAGACACTTTTAGTTTGCACTTGATAATAGTTTTCTGTAGATGATGATGTAAAAGTGAGATAGGAACATGAAACCATGTTCTATAAACACATAGTATGTCAAGGAACAAAGTTAATTTTGTACTACAGACATTTTTAGTTTGCACTTGATATACCTTTGTACAGATCCTGCACTATCTTCAAAATAATAGCTACCTCAACCATATTTCTCCGGCTATGTCCAGCATCATCCAGTTCTTCTTTTCCGCCAATAACATTTATGAAAGAGTAAGGACCAAACATTGGACCTGGAAGATAGTGTCTCTCATAACTTCTACTGTTAACATTTGGTGCATCCAAGATAGATTTGTGATAAAATTTTAAATTAGGGAAGAAACTAATTTTCGGATGCATTCTATATTGTATATTAAGCAGATGCTTAGGATGACTGGATGAACTCAATCTTTCAAATAAGCTTCTTCCAAAACCAGCATTACCAGAAACCTATTAATAAATATATTCAATGTGTCAAAGATGCCATTATAAAATCAATATAGAAAAAAGAAGAAAGAAAAAAAAATGTAAAAATTTTCTGAGAAAACCATGCAAAAATCTAGTTATCTCTAGAATTTATAATTCATCACTACTAGAATTGACTTACTTCACTCTTGACCATTGCTGGTAACTGGCGTTCATCACCAATGAGAATAGCATGCCTAATACCCGGAAGTTGAAGGGGTATGGTTGATTCACACTCCTTCAACTGGGCAGCTTCGTCAATAACAAGCAAGTTCAGTGGTTCCATTTCCACCCAATGAAGCATATATGAAATGGAAGCAGTGCAGAAAATTAAGGAAGCTCTTTGAAAACAAAATTCCATTATTGAATCTATGTTCATAACACTTGGAAGGTTAAGTTTCTCCAGAGAAAGCCGAAGAGTTCTCAAAACAGAAAGACACTTGCTTCGTCTCATGCACAGCAGCAGTAAGGACGTATCCACAAGAGCCTCAGAAGTGTCTTCAACTGTTTCCTGACGTGAAAGAAGCTCCTCCAATTCTTCAGAAACCACATTTTCTTGAAACAACAACATTTCCAACGAATCAAGTAAATTAATAAGAGATACCATGTTTTGAAAATTATGTTCCAGAATGTAACGCTTTGGTAAATTGGTACAGAATTTAAATAAACATCTCCTGAGTGGTAATGCAGTAGATTTGAATCGGTCTCTTGCAAACTCAAGAAATGATTTGAATTCCACCTCGGTAGGTTCACCGTCTTCGCAGAGTTCTTTTGCCATGAACAATTCATTTTCAACAAAAATTTGGTAGTGAGAAACACAATCTTCAAGAAAATCTATCATGGAATTTAAACAATGCTTCCAACCGGTCAATGGTCCTAAGCACTCTACAAGTCTTTTAACAAGATATTCCAGATAGATCTCCTCAATTTCTGATCCAATTTTCAGCTGGTCCTCATTCCCAAATAATAAAATATCCCCCAATGAACAAAACAAAGAATCCCTTGCAGAATCAGCTTTAAATGATTCTTTAACCATCTTTAGCACCCGAGAGGCTACTTCCTTTATTGCTACATTTGTTGGGGCACAAGTAAGGATCCTGTGGTTCAGTTTTAGGAGGCTAAACAGCATCATACTGACAGTCATAGTTTTCCCTGTTCCAGACGGACCCCATATAAGTTTCACAGAAGTCTTGTGTCTACATTCCATTTTATGGAGAGAATCCATGATTGCCTCAGTTTGAGATTCATTCAGCTTAGACAAAAGTCTTGTACTGAATCTTTCAGCTAATTGGCTATTGTTATGTCCATAACAACAATCACATGTTTCCTCAACCTGTTTGCCACAATCAAAATATCAACCAAGATCCCGTAATGTTAAGTGTACATCAGAAGAAATTAACTTCTACTATGATCTCAATTAACGGAAAAGAGTGAAATTTAGGTACATGAGATAGAACATATGAGAACTAAAAGACAAAAAGAGAATATGAAACTCAAATATACATTTATATGGAAGGAAGATTCAAGTGGGCATAGGCAAGGACACCTAAGGAAATGAAGTTACAATGATTGTCAATCTATATTTATATGAAAAGAAAACACATTTTTGACATTACCAATACATTGTGACAAACATGCGTCCCAAGTAGTCACCAGTAATATTTTCCCTTAAGATTTTATTTACTTTCTACTTCCTTCTTCCAACCCTTCAAAAGAAGTTATATTGTGTTGAATCATTACAAAAATGATATTAGCATTAGCATCACTATGTTCATGCATTATTCACTTCCATAATCCATATTGACTTTTAATTATTCACTTCCACCATGTATTTAATTGAATATTCCAATGTTTATGCAACATTAATCTAGTCATATTTCTTACCACAGAATCAGCGCGCAAGATTTTCTTGATAATCTTCATATTTGTAAACATGTGCAATGTATTCCATATTCTTTGGCTTCTTGTTATATTTATCAAGAAAACCACGAACATGGACTTCCACATCCCATCTTTGACTTCAATTTCTTTTGACGCTTTGATTCTAAAACGAGTAGTTGTGCTATCATCTTCATTCTCATCCTCCGTGATAGTAGTGAATGATGCAAAAGTCCAGGTCCTTCCCGCCCGTTGTAAATCAGAAATAGTCTCAGGTTACATATCCGAGATGACAAAAATATCTCCAGGCAACGTTCTGTAAGGCTCTTTGGCATGACAATTAAATCTGTTTTTCCAGTAATCAACCTTGACATCGTATAATAATTTTCCATGGAGCTTACACTCGTTAAAAGAGATCACTTCTGCAAAAGGTGCTCTGTATAGAATTTCCATACTGGAAGCCAGTTCTGCTCGTGTTTCTTCCAGTAAAGGAAAAACATATGAACCAAGATAATTATCCTCCGATTGAAATGATAGAGGAATCTTCTCCACCTGGACAGATTCAAAGAAATTTAAATTTAGTTCTCAGAAGATTCAATAAAGGAAAGATAATCCAACCAAAAGGATAAAGAATCATTGATACATAATGCATAAGGAGGCCTTTCAAATGGCTTCCTAACCAATAAAGTAGGTGCTTTGACACTATACTTCTGAAATAATCGAGGAGCAAGATATGTAATCAATAAGTAAAAGCAAGCTCCCACTTAGCACTTAGTAAGCACAAGCCACAGCAGCAAAATCATCAGTTCTTCCAGTATTTGCAGTAAGAAAGATAAGGTAGATCTTGATATCAAATGGCTTTAAGCCAATTTGAGTTTATGCTGGGGAGGTATACTATAGAGGCCGTTTACTCATTAAGGCAGTTAGTGGAAGATTGCAAAAGAAAACAAAAAGATCTACACGCGATTTTCATAGGGTTAGAAAAAATATGCTACAGTAACAAGAGATATAATTTGGTTGGCTCTACGAAGAAAACATATTCCTACAAAATTTGCAAACTTATTCAAGATATATATAAGGATACAAAAACTAAAGTTAATACTATAAGTGGGGAGACTAATGATTTTCCTATAAAATTAGGATTACACCAAGGCTCAATACTAAATCCATATGTATTCACGATAATCTTGGATGAAAAATTGAGAGACTTACAAGGAGGCATTCCATTGTGCATATTATTTGCTGATGACATAATGCTATTGGCAATGATGTTAGAAGCTTGGGGAAATGTAATAGAGACAGAAGATAATGGAACTAAATTAGTGGAACTAAATCAGATATTGAATATAAATTTAGTAATGATATGGAAAATGATAACATTGTGATAAAAATTACTGAAGATAATCGTTTTCGAACTTTGTAATTTCATTATATGTTTCATTATAGTAATGTTTAAAGCTGTTTTTTTATAAGAATGTACTCAATTAATACTCAAATTAAATGGGATGTGGCAAAAGAAAACGATTTCCATATATCTCTTAGATAGAAAACTCATCTCTGCTATTAAATTTGAGTTTTTTTTCCCTTTCCATCAATCCATATGAAGGATCGGGGTGTCCAATCTCACGCATATCCTCTAACCATATCCATGTCGCGTCGGCACAGGTACACAAGTGATATAGAAGAGTCGATATAACAAAAGGTACAAATAAATTAATAGAGTCAAAGCAGTTCTTTTTCATGTTGTTAAAAAGGGGAACAATATGAGTCTGACATTTCAGGAAACAAATCATGGGAATTTAGCTTGCTAAGTTTAAATGAAAATGAGCATATTAAAATATGAAATAAATTTTAACTATGTTGATAAGAAAAAGTTTCATGAAAATCACTAATCAAATGATCGTCACATGCGAGTTTACCATTTTCAATCGAAATTCAGAGATTAGCTAGAAGAAAAAGAAAAACATTTCCCAAAAAAAAAAAAAAAAATGAGCATAATCTGAAATTTTGAAACTATAACATAAATTAACATCCTGGGGAAAAAAAACTCAAGCAATCTGCTTAAACATGATAAATAAAATTATTTTTAACAAAAAAAAAAAAAAAAGATAAATAAAATTATATTAAATAGTCAGTAATAATTTTTGCATAACAAAAACATACAAACTTTCACTATGATTTGTCAATACAAAAATGATACAACATTGTTCAATAAATTGATCCAAGACAATAAATAAATCCCATGAGCATGTTTTATTAATCAGGAATCACCAACAGAGCAAAAGCACAGAGCAGTAGAAACAGAAATAACGAAAAACAGAAACCTCTATATGTTCATACTGATATGAAACCATGAAATTTTGATAGGATTGGGCCTGAACAAAGCCCAGCCCATTTATGCCAAAATCGTGTTAGGTATAAAATCATGATTAAAGTCCATTAATGCCATTGGTAAGCATCAATCAACTATATATTATATTCCAAATATATCAATAATTTAATCTAAAAGCAGCAAAAATTGTCACAAAGATTCAAAGGAATCAGAAAAAATTAAGAATGAAACAAGAAGTAGACCTGATTTTTGTACAGATCCTCATTGTTAATATCTTCAAGAGACCATGAAAACACCAAATCAGCTAACTCTTCTTTGGGCCCTTTCCCCTTGTTAGACAAAGAAACCCTCTCCATCATTATTTTCAAACTATGCTTTTATGTAATCACAATAACAAAACCCCTTTTTACTTTCCACCCTTTAAACCTTCCATTCCATCAAAAAGATGTCTAGAGAGAGAAATTATAGCTATAGATTGTAAGAGAGAGAAATGGGTTTCTTAGTTATGAAGGAAGGAACCTGAAACGAGAAGTGAAGAATGTATAGATAGTACAAACACTTGCACCCCTGTCAAAAGAAAGAGATATTCATCTCGATAGTCTGTCCGTACACACATACAAATGTGTGTGTGTGTGTGTGTGTGTTTTGAGTGTGCAATGTATATATGTCTATGGTCGAATCCTATGCTCTTTTACCAATAGAGAAAGCAAACCCAAAATCAAACGAGGAATCAGAAAGCTTGGGAAAAGGTGACAGAAGAAAATTAATAATTTTTTTTTTTTGATACGAATATTCCAGGAGCCTATACGATACAGGTACCATCAATCTTGTAGATGTATCTGTGTTGATTTTTGTGTTGGTTTTTATTTGGTAAATTAACAGAGTGCAAAATTTAGAAGCAACAAAATGTTAAATCTGATGAGAATATTATATATATATATATATATTTATGGATAAAAAGCCCATCCTTGCCTATATAATAGGAGAAAAATCGTCTCCAAGGCAACTCTCACCGGAGGCTGTCCTTGGAGGGGTAAATGGTGACGTGGCCATTTTAGTAAAAAGGATATTTACCTTGTGAGTTGTATATACATACATTCGTCTGTATATCTGTACAAGAATCAATATTTTCTGTATACTAAATGAAATTTAAATTCCCTCTAAAACATAAAACTAATTTCCCCCAAAATTTTATTTGATATCTTCAAGTTATATTTCATTATTTCCCTCTTAAATTCAGGTTTCTCTCCCTCTGAAATTGAAGTCAATCTCTGTTGATGGCCAAGACCAAGCTTCGTAAATTCGGACAACTTCATCAAACAAGCAAAACATTGTCCCTTTCACATTTCGGCGAGAAGCACCATACATTCCGGCAAGAAGTAGAAAATATACATACATTCTGGCGAGAAGCAAAAGGCCACCATACATTCTGTAGAAGTAGTCCACCATACAATATTTGTAATTTTGTTTATTTTTCTACATTTTTATAATATTGGTATGTTAAATTTACAGAGTTTATGATTTTATTTATTCATTTCTAATTTAGAAATATTTGTAATTTTGTTAGTTTTTCTGCATTTTCATAATTTTGGTATGTTAAATTTGCAAAGTCTATGGTTTTATTTATATGTTCATTTCTGATTTAGAGATATTTGTAATTTTGTTAGTTTTTTAGCATTTTCATAATTTTGGTATGTTAAATTTGCAAAGTCTGTGTTTTATTTATCTGTTATAAGTCTTTATAATAATTATTTTATAATATTGTTTATCTGTTATAATTTTTCATCTTCACGACACATGGTGGTTTTATTTATCTGTTGTAAGTGCTCATAATAATTGTTTTATGTTAAATAGATTTGACATGTGATTTTTAGAGTTTTATAGTTAATGGCTAATCTGTTGCAGTAATTTATAATTCATTTTTACATCTGATTTTAGTAATTCAATTTGTGATATATTAGTAATTTTGTTTTATATTTTGTTTGTGAAAGTTCAATTAATTATTATTCAATAAATTAAGACCCAACAAAATAGTGAGTGTTATTTAAAAAATCAGTTAATTGAATTGAGAGATAATATGTTTTCCAGTGGAGATATCTGTACATTTGTCTATCGCAAAAGCTTTGTTTATTTTCTTTCCTGCAGGCCTGATTTTATTTGGCTTGGCAATAATTTTACTCATTCAGATGTTGTTGCGTAAATGAAATATTGTGATGCATATTAACAAAGAATTCATATATATACGGTTATGTTGTAACACATATTAGTCAAACATTCTGATGGGTATTTAACACTTACCTTCAATTTCGTAAAAAAAAGATGTAATGCATGTTAAGAAAAAATTTATATTTTATATACAATTATGTTGTAACACGTATTAGTAAAACATTCTCATGAGTATTTAATGATTTCGTCCACTTCTCTTTAATTTCGTAAAAAAAAAAGTTGTGTGTATGTTAAGAAACAATTCATATATTATATACAATTATGTTGTAATACATATTAGTAAAACATTTTGATGTGCATTTAACACTTACCTTCAACTTAGTAAAAAAAAAAATGTGATGCATGTTAACAAAGAATCCATATTTTATATACAATTATATTATAGCACATATTAGTAAAACATTCTGATGGGTATTTAACACTTACTTTTAATTTCGTAAAAAAAAGATGTGATGCATGTTAAGAAAGAATTCTTATTTTATATACAATTATGTTGTAATACATATTAGTAAAACATTCTGATGGGTATTTAACACTTACCTTCAACTTCGTAAAAAAAAAAAATGTAATGCATGTTAAGAAATAATTCATATTTTATATAAAATTATATTATAACACATATTAGTAAAACATTCTTATAGGTATTTAATGATTTCATCTACTTCCCTTCAACTTTATAAAAAAAAGTTGTAATGCATGTTAAGAAACAATTCATATATTATATACAATTATATTGTAAAACATGTTAGTAAAACATTCTGATGGGTATTTAACAATTATTTTCAACTTTGTAAAAAAAAAATGTGATGCATGTTAACAAAGAATCCATATTTTATATACAATTATATTGTAACACATATTAGTAAAACATTCTGATGGGTATTTAATGATTTCGTCCACTTCCCTTCAACTTCGTAAATAAAAGTTGTGATGCTTGTTAACAAAGAATTCATATATTATATATAATTATGTTGTAACACATATTAGTCAAACATTCTGATGTGTAGTTAATGATTTCGTCCACTTCCCTTTAACTTCGTAAATAAAAGTTGTGATGCATGTTAAGAAAGATATCTTATATTTTATACAATTATCTTGTTACACATATTAGTCAAACATTGTGATGCGTATTTCAGCTTCCTTTGGTCTAAATTGGTCATAATACATGTATTTACTTAATCAAGTGGTAGCTACATGGGGTGTTTTGAATTGATTACTTCGTGGAGGTTCACTAATAGATGTATTTAACAACTCATTTTTTCAACTACGCTTATATAACAACTCATTTTTTCTAAAGCATGTATGCGGATGTGCACTTTAATTTAAGAATTAAATTAAGAGAAATGTTGTACAAAGAATTGAATGTGTTGCTGTAAAAGATGTGTTCTATTAGTGGTTTTATCAAGTGTTTACTTGCATTGAACATCTTAAATAAAAGCTATAATGTATGTTAAACATAAAATCATATACAAATATGTTATAACACATGCATACTAGTCAAATATGTTAAAAATATGTTTCTATACTATATGAAACTTAATTTTGTTTGGTTTTCGCTTTAATGAAATAAGTTATCATATTTGTTCCTTAAATCAAATTTATTACCATTTGAAAGGTAATATATATGATTATATGTATCAATATATTTATATATACAAGCGGAAAAAAAAAAACTAATTATATTAACAAAAATCATATTTGTTCCATAAATCAAATTTATTACCATTAGAAACGTAATACATATGACTATATGTATCGATATATTTATAGAAAAAAAAAAAAAAAAAAAACTAATTATGTTAACAGAAATAAAAAACGGTGACCAATATTAACCAATATCTGAAATCATTTATTTCTTAATTGCAAAAAAGATAAATTGTTTATCTATTTACATAAATATATATCTCTCTAAATATAGTTTTCTCTTTCTAAATTTTCTCCCTAATTATATATATTATCTATTTCATAATTTTTTTTATTTGAAAAAGAAAAAAAGAAAATGAATGAAGTCCCAAAATTGGAAATAGATGATGCAAGATCGGAGTTTCCGGTAGACGATGTTTTCGGCGAGATCAAGTGAATTCCGGGAGAGGAAGAAGGTTGAGATCAGTATTGGTCTTGCCTTGGCGCCGCGAAACTCACGCACCACCGCATCGTAGGAGAGGAGGTTGTGCTCCTTTAAATCCACGATGAACTCCATCTCTACATCCACCATGGTTGGACCTCTGTGTGTGAGAGGTTTAAGATCTCATTTTTGGTCAACAGAGGAAGAGAGAGATGGGAGGCAGATGTATTGATTGTATGGTATAAGTATATTTGTATATGGTATTTGTGCTTGTGGTAAAAATTAAAATAGCTGAATAAACATTTTTATTTTTGTGCTGAGTTGGAGATGAGTAAGTGATGATGTGGCATAATTTGAACAAGTGGCTTGATCACAGCCATTGGATCCTCACTGGACCCTCTCCGGTGAGAGGTGCCATGGAGAGGATTTTTGCCCTAATATAATATACATATACTAGTACCAAAGAGTCTAGACGTGGTGCAAGCAGATTGGGCAACTCAACCCCACTGCTCTGCTGTGTTGACTACAACCAATCTTCATTGGGAAGATTTTGAGGATACGTTTGGACAAGTGTCTGTTTTGGATGATGGAAATTAGAGAAAAGTAAAAGTGATTTTTTTTTTTTTTTTTTTTTTTTTTTTTTTTTTTTTTTTTTTTTTTTTTTTCTGGCAAACAGAAACGTTTTATATTCATCAAAGCCACAAATAAATGAGGAGGAGCACACTTCAAGCATAGAGACAAAGACATAAATGTGTGCGCGCACCCTTCCTAATCAACTCTACCATAGGACTGCTTGGAACTGTTACAGGACGATACCAGACAATATAAAATGGTATGACGCTACTGACAACATCCAGAAGGCATGCGATAACTGCCACCTCATTATAAAGCATCAGACCAAACATAGAAGCCCATCCCAACAGCACTCTAAGATCCAAAACCATTGCATCCCACCAATCCGTATGAGCATGACTCCGGGAAAGCTGGATAACAGCATTAACCACCTCGTACCTCTGTCTACACACAGAAGGAACCCAATTCGAGGGGAGATCCTGGAGCACTATACAGATAGCAAAGGGACAAAGAGCAACACCCTCAATACACACCACTAAAATACTGGGAGGAACCCAATGTAAATCCAGTGATCAGCAAGCATAGAAAACCAAATAACCCACTACAAGGGAAGCCATCAGCCCATTCCAAGACATAACCAATAGACCCCCAAAGAAAATGAACACAAAATGGGCCTCTGTTTTCCAAAGAAATGACCCAAAAGGAAACCATAAAATGGGCCTAGAAGGCAGAAAACAACACGGCTCACTTAAAGCCAACAGGTTATACAGGTCCAGAATTACTCTAAGTAGGCACCGCCACTAACTCAAAACACCAAGGTAAGTAAGTAAATGAACCGTAAATAAGAAACAAGCTTACCTCGAAAAAAACGTCGTGGCACCGCCTTATAAAAAGTCATAGCAAAGTTAAGAGAAGGCTGCACCACATTAAAACACAGACCTTGAGAGCATAAATGCAGCACCAACATAGACAAAGTGTTAGTAACCAGTTCAGAAGCGTACTCAAGACGCCATTCCATCAGAGCCTTACACGTTAAGCCAATTGGGACAAGAGAAGGCTGCAACACTTGAAGAGTTAGACCTGGGGAGCATAATTGCAGCACCAACTTAGACAAAGCAGTAGGAAAGTCAAGGAGATGGCCCTACAGTAGGTAAACAAGATCAGTGAAAAAATCTTGAATACACGGCAGACATGACGTCACGATAGAAAGCACCATCTAAGACTAATAGGGAAAAGAGTCAAAGAAAGAACTCCCCAACACGCAATCAATATCTTCAAAAAAGTCTTGAAAAAACGACACCCAGGACGTCACCAAGTCGGCCTCCAAACAAACAAAAGCCGACCACCACAGCCTACCCAGCCAAACTCACCGATCACGCCTACTTTTACGAGATTGGGACCTTGACAAGCCCCCTGACAGCCATGGGATGCTGTCAACATGCACCGGGGGTGCCCAGTGGCATTTTCGTAAATATGGCGAAAAAGTGAAGCTTCGAGTTTTGGCTCGGGATCTTTTTGGGAGGTACCTTGAGTCCATAGAAGATGGTTGGCGCAGACGGCACTCGATTTGGATGTCGTGCACTTTGAGACATTTATATGTGGGTGCAGATTAGTGGATTTGGCACGGACTAAGTTCACAAGGTTAGCTCAGATGTTACTTAAAGCATGGACCACACAAGTCATGGACATGTGGCATAGTCAAGTCAGGGACATGGGCACAAGGCAGTGGGCGTAGGCAAGGCTCAGCGTGCAAGGTTGGCTCAGGGGACTCAGACATGGCTTATGGTTACAGAAGATGGCTAAGTGGGCTCAGGTGGTTGAGGAAAGTTACACTTCCCACTAAGTGGGTTTAGGTGGTTGGGGGAAGTTACACTTCCCACTAAGTGGATTTAATTGGTTGGGGGGAAGTTACTAACACTTCCCACTAAGTGGGCTCAGTTGGTTAGGGGAAGTTACACTTCCCACTAGTGTGCTGAGTAACTTCCCAACTTCCCACTCATATACATATATTATGGGGAGTGGGGGTGTGCTGAGTAACTTCCCATGCATGTGGCACAGATCTGAGGGGACAACACACAGGTGGTTAGAGTCAATTTTCTTCCACTATGTTGATATATAGAAGGTGGCAGATAATGTGTAACTTCCTATGGACAAGTGGCATGAGTAGAGCGTGCCAACAAGCTAGTAGTTGGGTTGTCAACTACATATGTAGTGTTGGCACACTTAGTGGGTGCCAACGTGACCCTAGGTGGATGGGGGTGTCATCCACCACTTTAGTGGGTAGTTGTGGGTAGATGGGGGTGTCATCCACCACTTTAGTGGGCAGTTATGGGCGGTTTTGAGAGTTTGCCTATATATTGCTAATGTGGGTTCTGTAGAGAGGGGAGATTGAGAGTGAGACACAGAGTTGTGTTGTCAGAGACTTTTGTATGCTTCTGTAGGTTAAAGCCTTTCCTTGTACTATTTCCTGAATAATAGTAAAAGGTTGGAAGCCATATGCTTCTGTAAATTCGTGGGTGTTATTGTCCGTACATTCTTGCAACTATACTTGTGTGTGAGAGTGTTTTACTTGCTGTGTGTTCTAGGCAGCAAGTGTGAGTTGGCTGAGCTAAGTTAGAAATTCAGAGAAAAGTTGTTCATATTTCTTGCTTAGTGCCATCACAGGCCACTAGATTCGTGTTCAGAATTTACCCCTGTGACACCTACCGAAGCACCAAGAACCTTATATTCCGGCCAACTACACAGCGACGGGACATCCACCATCCAAAAACCATCCAATATCGTAAAAACAGAAAAAGCTATACACAAAAACAGGCCTATCACATAATGTCGTCGCATAAACTTCCACATCAAGCTTGCCGGAGACCACCACCGCTACTCGTTTACCCAACCAGAACAACTCATCGGCGTCCAATGAAACCCGAGCCTCAACCATCCTTCCGGCAAAACCCGTCGCGTCCGAGAACATTTCCTTGACGCCCTACTCCAAACGATTGCTAGCAATTCCAAGGAACTCCCAAGCAATGCACCTTTAGAGACGAAAAGAAAACCCTTCCAGACCCAAATTCAACCAACAAAGCAAGACACCACTAATTCCCCAAAGCTCCCTCATCGACCGAGGACATAGGACCGATTCATCCACATCAGATAACCGAAAGCCAAAATTAAAAGGAAAATAAAACAGAATACTTAATAACGGAATAAAACACCACAAAAGCCTCACAAATATGGTAAATTTAGCGACCAAAAAACGAAAGTGAGAGTAACTACATACCAACGCCATATCGCCAAGGCCAATCAGCCCACCCAACACAGGTATGGCATAGAAAACCCACAAGATCCACTCAACTGGGATGGACATCCATACCAACAATCAGCCAAACCCCACCAAAAGATCACGAGGAACACAAAACCAGAACTCTCGATGAAACGAGACACTCTTTCTACAGAGAAAACCTTGACAGCAGCGAGGAACTCAAGAAGATGATTTCACCGATTGTCTCAAGAAAAAGAGAAATAAAAAGGATAAGAATAGAATAGAAAGTTGCATACATCCTATATAACGTTGAAAAAGAAGAATTCTAAGAAGAAAAATCAGAGACAAGTAAAAGATTGATTTAGGTTTGTTTTATAAAAATGGAGAGTGAAGGGAAAGGTGGAAAAAGATCATCTCCATTGCCCTCTCACCGGAAACTGTTCAATGAGGGATAAATTGCTGAGTTGGCAAATGAATTAAAACTGTATTTACTTCACTTTGTCTCATAAACATAAAGATTTTTCTTACACATAAACATAAAGATTTTCAAGAAGAAACAGAGCAAGATTATCCGGCGAAGAAATAGAGCAAGTCAGATTATCCGACGAAGAAACTGAATTGAGGACGTATAAATAAGCAAAAGGATTTCCCTGTTCAAAGAAGGTCCATTCTGAAACAAACAAAATGAGATCTAGTCGGAAAAATCACCATACATTCTAGCGAGAAGCTAAAATTTTCGAGAAGGAGAAATTCCCCTAAAAAAATTCCGACAGTCCATGAAAAGTTGAAGCTCTGATCAATATAAGCTTTAGGTTGTTATTTTGAATTTCTTGTAAATTTATTCATAATGATATATTAAATTTATCTTATATGACGGCAATCCAATAGTGATTATTGGTAATCAAAAATTTTGAAAGCTGGATTCATCACCTACTTTTTCTAACCGCATACAGATCAATTTATTATGTTCACAACTTATTTAAACATGTATCATGTATGAATTGCATATTGCATCAACATATTTTCCTAACACGTTAAAAAAATTAACTTCCACAATTTAATTTCACAATTTCTAAATTAATAATAAGAATCACAAATACTTTCAATATATATGTAGGAAGATTTGCATATTCCATCACCTACTTTTGTAACAACATACCATACAAAAGTTGGAGAGATCAAATTGTTATTATCACAATTTTCTTTTAACATGTATCATGTATGAATTGCATATAGCATCAACATATTTTCCTAACATGTTAAAAAAAATTAACTTCTACATCAAATTATTATTATCACAACTTTTTTAAACATGTATCATGTATGAATTGCATATAGCATCAACATATTTTCCTAACACAGTTAAAAAAATTAACTTTCACAACTCAATTTCACAAATCCTAAATTAATAATAAGAACCACAAATACTTGCAACATATATGTAGGAAGATTTGTATATTCCATCACCTACTTTTTGTAACAGCATATAATACAAAAGTTGGAGAGATCAAATTATTATTATTACAACTTTTTAAAACATTTATCATGTATGAATTGCATATAGCATCAACATATTTTTCTAACACGTTAAAAAAATTAACTTCCACAACTCTAAAATATATATAATTAGTTAATTATTTTAAAATCCTAAAATATCAAATAAATTTATATTTGGATACTGAATTGTACCGATACATAATCAATATTTAAGACTCGTAATTTTAATAAAAATAAATGGAATAAAATATTTTTGTACATATTATATTGTTATACATATATTTGGATACTGAAAAAGAATGGAATAAAATATTTTTGTATATAATATATTGTTATACGTATATTTGGATACTGAATAATACCAATATATTTTTGTATATAAAATTTGTATAAGATTTGTATATATATTTTTGTATATATATAATTTGATTTATATAAAAGTTGTGATTTATGTTAGAAATGTGTTCCTACATTATATAAAATTTAGTTATGATGTTAGTTATGAAATTGTTATGATGTTAGTAATAATACATGGTTAGTTTTCCTTTGACTTTAGTTAAATTTACAAATCTAAGTTACATTGAATGAAATAAGTTATGATATTTATTACAAATATGTTCCTACACTATATGAAATTTAGTTGTGATGTTAGTTATAAAATCGTTATGGTGTTATTTTTCTAAAACGGTATAAGAATATTATAAATGGTTTGGTAACTCACTAAAAATATATAACAAATTAACAAAATTTATGTCAAATTCTTCAACACCGAAAAGAGAGTAGTATTTTATCTCCAATCCAACCTTACAAAGAAATCTCATTCATAAGATTGTATAAATCAAATAGTTGCGTCTGATCTGTTAGAGAATTCATTGCCATATGGATCTGTTTGCTTTTCATGTTTCCAGCTGCAGACCAACTTTTTTCTCATTTTTGTTGTTTTGGGGTTTGTCTATTCTTCATTAATGTCTAAAAATTTAAATGGGTTTTGGAATTATTGTTGATTAATATGTTTAGATTTTATTCAGGGTTAAGAGTTCCTTAGATCTGAACATTTTATAGATTCAGGGATTCTTAGCTTGAAAATTATGCTATTCTTTTCGATCTAGGGTTTATTGTAGTTACTCTACAGTTTGGATGAAATAAGAAGATACAACAAGAACCAAAGCAAAAGAAAACCGAAGAGGAAACGATTTCACCTTTCCACAAGAACCAAAACAAAATATATCAAATTCAAGAAAAGAAAAAGAAGAAGAAGAAGAAAGAATAACCAGAGCAAAAATGACACCGAGAAGAAGATGAAGAATTAATATAATTTGTAATTTTTCTAAAAAGGTAAAGATGAAGTATATTGGAATAAAATAATATTGTATATGATATATTATATAACGTATAACGTATAATTGTATGTTGTATTGGATATTTGTACATGTAGTAAAAAAAAAAATGTAGCTCAGTAAATTTGTCCACTAACTCGTTGACTAGGCGCTGAGATGGAGCTAAGTAGGCACTGACAAGGCAAGGGAGCTGAGGTGGGTTTGATCTCAGCCGTTGGATCCTTACTGGAGCACTGGAGCAGATTCGCGTCCGGGAAAGGTTTGTTTTCTAAGAGCATCTCCAATTAGCTCTCTAAATTTAGGCTCTCCGAATTCGTTACATCAGCATTTTTTAATAGCCATGTCAGCATTTCTCATAGCTACGTCAACGTTTTAGAGTCTCCAAATTTTAGCTATCGGATGTACTCCAATGGTGCATTTTCCCTTTCTAAAAATATTAATATTTTAATATTTTTAAAATTTTTAATAAATTTTATTTTTTAACTTTTTCCTAACTGCTATA